TAGAAGGCCATAAAACCCAAGAAAATGTTATTCTTTGAGCTAAAACTCAATGTAAAACTCATGTGTTATTCTTGGTGGTCTTTTGCTCTTTCTTGTTAATTGTTGAACTATGGAGGACTTGGAAAGCTTGTAAACATTTGGCTTTACTCGAAGACGAGTAAAGAAACTAAGTGTGGGGGAGTTTGATGGTATGAATTTCCTATTATGTATGTTTGTGTTTTTAACTAGCAGTTTTATTAGTTCTAGTTGTGGAAATTACACACTTTTAAGGTAATACTTTAGTTTGTGAAATTATTTGTAATTTATTTAGATTATAATTATTCTGAGCTTAGGACAGGTCAAAATCATCCCAAGAATAAAAGGATGGATCCTAAACACCAAAGAATGTGCGAAAGGGAGAAGATCAAATGGAGATCTTGAAATTTGTTCAGTACTCAGTCGAGTAATGACCAGATTCGCTGGTCAAAATCATATATGGGAGCAAAAGAATGTGGCTGAATATTTGATGAAAATCTTGTCTCATACTCGGTCAAGTATTGACAATACTCGACCTAGTATGCCTATACTTCGCAATTTCCTGGAAACTACCGCCAATACTCGGTCCAGTATCCCCAATACTGGATCGAGTACAGAACCCTGCCACCTCCATTTTGCTATAAATACATCCCTTTTTCTTCACATTAAAACCACCAATTGTCATATACTTCTAAGATCAGTTTAGACAAGTATTTCTTTTATATTTTTCTAGTATGTTTAGTCTCCAAATGACGAGCTAAACTCTTCCATCTTGGTTTTGCTACTTTGAAGCTTAATGAGTTGTAAGTTGTGAGTTATTTTCTTTAATCTTCTTCCTTGAATATTAATTCTTCCTTTAATCTATCTATATATTAATGTTGGGGAGTGTTACTAAGATGACAATTAGTTAACATCTCGACATTAGTTATAGTAGTATTTATTTTCTTCCTCTATACATTAATGTTGGGGAGTGTTGCTAAGATGACAATTAGTTAGCATCTTGACATTAGTTATATATAGTAGGATTTATCATCTTTAATATTCTTCATTGAATATTAATTAATTCCTATTCATATTTTATATTAATATTTTGAACATTACTTAAAGGATCAACTAGTTTTGTTTCATATATTAATTATCACTAGAATCGATCGACGAGTACACTTGTTAATCGTTCGGTCTTTTCATGGTAGTAAACTTGGATTATTAATGCATGTGTCTCATGGTTAATAATCTAAGGGGAATTAATTATATTGATTAAACCAACAAACCGCTTGTGTTGAGGTTATCAATCTCAATCGTTTTCATCTTAAATTTATTGCTACTATCGGGTTAATATACGGCGCATGTTCTATATTAACTTGGTAGTAAGTTTTACTAATGAACGCGTCTCGTTATTAATAACCACCCTCAATGAACTGGATATACTCCTCGATTGAGTATTCGAGAGGAAGATAGTTAAAGATATAACCGGGATCGACGGACATTTCATTAAGTGGATAAATGCAAAACAAAGTCTTCATCTCCATTAATTAAACCACATAAGTCGTTCATCTTAGTGTTAATTAAATTAAATCAAATCAAACTAAAATCCCCCCTTTGTTATTAGTTATATAAAAGAAAAGTATTCCTTTCCCTGTGGATACGAACCTTACTTCGTTATACTACGTATAATTGTTGTATTGTACTATTATTTTGAGTGCACACCACAATAAAGTGTACGTCAGTACTGCTGGTCCATCCTCCTGTTGAACCACCGTCATGGATTGCACCAGTTGGTGTTCTGGCTGTCTGTGGAACTGTGGAAGGTCTCCGTTAAAAGAGATCAATAATAATGGAGCTTGGCAAGTAGTGATAGGCTCATTTAGTTTGCATTTTAATACTAGTATCTTTCAGTTTGTTTTTTATTTTGGAACCCTAGTGTCATCGGTGTGTTTTTCTTATGAGGCGGGTAGGTACTTTATTTTGTGATAAGGAGTAAGATGGCTTCGAAAGCCGTGATAATCTTCAAATCTCTCAGAGGGTTAGCAACTTGATCCGCTCTATTTAGGGTGGTCGTTTCTATGTCTAATCAGAGGATGAGGGGACCTTTGGGTCATGAAGAGTTTGGTAGTATAAGGCTGTCCAGTATGGAGAAGTAAGTAATATTATATTGTTGGTTCGTAATCTCTAATATAATCATTCAGTTTCCTTTCCAAAAAAATTATGCTAAGGAAGACTTATCTGACTTAACATTGTTGTCTTCCCACTTTCCTTTTTTAGTCATAACATTCATATCTTCCCATTTTTAAATCTTTCCATTATAACATCAAAATTTTTAAAAATAATACACTATTACAGCTACTTTTTTGGATTTATTCTTCATTCCAACACATTATTTCATTACGTTCCCATCATACCCTCAATAATTTATACGAAGTATTATTTCTTTTAACTATTTTTAATCTTACCTACTTTCAAATGGGAAGATATATAGAAGTATATGTTACGGAGGTAGTAAAACACATCTCATTCCAATGATCAATATTGGAAGTAGTTTTCTCTCTCCACCAGCTTGGTGGATCTCATGACATTAGATAGATAAGAATAGTTTTTCCCTAAGTAGCGTGCGATTTTTTTATGTTACCCGCCATTTCCAATGATACACACGGCTGTTCCACTGGCACCAGGGGAGAGAAGTCAGAAACATATAGAAGGGTATCGTACATTTCTTCACATGTACTAATGAGAATGTTGTAGTTGAATTATTTAAATCTAAATTAAAAATAATAAAGTAATGTGGTCCAATAAAATGAATAATAGGTACGGTAACTCATTATTTTAAAAGGTATCGGAGTTGTCACATTTTTTTAATTACCCCTTTTGAGTAGGGCCGGTTTGTGGGTTTGGTGTACACAAACAATGAAAACGTGCATTAACTTGCTTAGCTTTGCATAAATTAAACTCGTTCGGTGTTTCCTTAGTTTTACATTGGTTTTGATAGGATTTGATTGGACATAGCGTTATTTTGTATGAAATATATATGTGCATAATTTACTTGAAAAGTAGGCATATTTTTCTTAAATAATTAGGCATATATTTTTTGCACTTGTTTTTCATAGTTTTGCACATTGCAACGGGTAGATGTTTTTCATAGTTTAGCACGCTATGAATTATTGCCACATACGCATTTCATTCTTTTGGTATGGAACACGCTGGTGAATCAGAAAAGCAAACAAGATGTAGAATAAGATGGAAAAATAGTAATGTTGTGAAAACATTTCTTGAGACATGTATCCATGAGATTTTTGTAAACGGGCAGGAAGATAGTAGTCTGGAAGCACTTCCTTGAAAGAAAGGTGTTGACGTTTTGAATTTGACTCATAAGTTTTCTATTGAACGGAAGCAAATTCAAAATCATTACGATTATCTTAAAGAAAAATATAGAGCTTGGTTACTACTCAAAAATAAAACGGGTAATGTGTATGATCCGTCCACCAACACGGTTAATCTTAGGCACGAGGAATGGAAGATTGAAATTAAGGTAATTTTTGCCTAATGGAAACCTCTGTTTATTTCGTTGTTTATTTTGTTCTATATTTTACATTTTTTTAACACAGAAAATAAGTACATTGAAACTTTGAGGACTATATCCTTCTGATAATACTTCAAATTATAATATTGAAGATGACATGGCAAAGATGTGCAATTTAACTGAACTTGATCCACTTGCTCCAGAGTTTATATTTGCAAAGAGGACTGTTTTCTTCAATTTACCACATGATCATAGTAGAGTTGCATATATTAATTTTATGTATGCTGAACAAAAGAGAAGTGCGACTAGTACATATTGCATAGTCGCAGTGAAGTGTATTTTTACTTTTTCATTAGATCGACATGTTTGTCCATTCATGATTTTTTGTTATGTGATATGGACAAGTTCTTAAGCATTTATGTGACTTCAATGTTATTATTATTAGATCTATCTCTAATTTCAAATGTTCACATTTATGATCTAAATACTACGTATTTGATTGTAGGTCATTGTGGATTATTAAATAAGCAATGTAGAGTGTAGACAATTTCTTCTCATGTTTCAGCAACAATATCTCTTATGTCAAGAATATTTTGAAATAGATAGTGAAAATATGGATATGATGGCTTGTATGATGGCGTATATGTGTGAGTATTATTTCAAAAATATTTACAAGGAACCATACATGCATGACGTCTTATTTGATTGGAGAAAGATGGATGAATGAGTTATAAAATGGTCATGAAAAACGATTTATCAATGCATTTGGAATGACACGAAATACTTTTCATCATTTACGTGCGGATTTAGAGACTGAGTATGGTTTGAGGACTTCAAGTAGGGTGTCAGTTTGGAGAATTCTGCACTGGGTGATGATGAAATGAGAAATCATCAGATACGATTATATTGGTGATAACTTTGCTTCAAGTTTGATGTGATGGATCTTTTTTTTAAACTATTACGTATTTCGTTCTTGGTATTGGTAGAGCTAGTGAACTCATGAATTTTAATTATCATGTTTTTATTTAGTTAAATTTTAGATTATTTATTAATTTATACATAGGAGTATATGGGTATAGTTATAACAAAATGCGTAGTAACAACAAAAAATATATGCTAAAATGTACTAATGTCTATTTTATTATCTTTTTACCTATTAATAATCGTTATAAACAAACAGCTAAGTTACCAAATTTCTTTTTGCAACCTGCAAAATTAATGCGCAGGTAAAACCTGCTGACTGAAATATGCTATCTTCAACCCGCTAACACTATCTGTCAACCGCTGATTGCGAAACATGGTCTAAAGTAAATCATTTTAGACCATACTAGATTCAGAAATTAAAAATATGTTAGTTGTATTTGCAATTATTAGAACCTAAACTATAAGAAAAGTACTATTTTGTGATCATTCTTATACCCACTAAATGTGAGAGAATATGTGTCAAAACATGACATATTGTGTTTGGCAGGGGATTCACGCACAAAACAATTGTAACTATAAGAGTGAGTAGAAATAGTAGGGGTGAAACTACAAATAGGAGTGTCAAGAGACTAATACATTCCATAAGCTAGCATCATACTTAGTACCAGAAAGAAAGATGGGAAGACTGGAAGGAAGGACTAGATTACAGTCAGCCGCCCTTTTGTTCAACGCTATGTTGATGGGCATCGGAAGCTGCGGTAGCCCTCTTGTCGCGCGCCTCTACTTCATCGGCGGCGGCACCCGGATATGGTTTTCCACCTGGCAGCAAACCGCCGCTTGGCCAGTCACTCTCATCCCTCTTTTCGTCTGCTACCTCCATCACCGTCGCCGCCGGAGCCAGACAAGTGACTCCGGTGAGTTCCACCACATCACGCCGTTTCTTTTCATCTCCGCCTTCCTCATCGGCCTTCTGATGGGCCTAGGCAACTACTTCTTCATGTGCGGTGTCTCCAAGCTTCCGGTCTCGACGGTGCTTCTGATCGGGAGCTCTCAGCTCGCGTTCACGTCGCTATTCGCTTTCATCCTCGTGAAGCAGAAGTTTACGGCGTTCATGATAAACGCTGTCGTTTTGCTGACCTTATCGGCGGTTGTTTTGGGCGTCCGGGCGGGGAACGACCGCCCGGCCGGAGAGTCTAAGAAGGAGTACATTTTGGGGTTTGCCTTCACAATTGGGTGTGTGGCTTTGATAGGGTTGCTTTTGCCGTTGGTGGAGTTGAGTTATAGTAAGGTGAAGATGGCCAGAATTGAGTACAGTATGGTTCTGGAATATCAGATGGTTCTGTGTTTTGCTGCCACTGTTTTCTGCACAGTTGGAATGTTCATAAACCATGACTTCCAGGTAATGTATGGTGCCTTATTCTCCATACTAATTGAATGCTTCTATTCATAGTGATTTCAGTGGGAGCATATCGAATATATATTTAAAGTTGGAGAATAATAAACTAGCTACTCATAAACCAACATTCACCATACATAAATGCACCAGTTCAAATGAATAAAATAGCTAGTCCTAAACCAAACAAATTGAATAAAATTTCAAATCAAATTATTACAAGCATCCTTATATAGTTATATTTGTCTCTTTGGACATCACCCATGCAGACATCCAAAAAAAAAATTGTACGGATGAAGAGTGAGATTTGTATGGATGAAGAGAAATAATCTCAGTCACATACCGTAGTACGAAGTGTAATTTACTTTAAAAGGAAAATGAAAAAGTTTTATTGACAAAGAAAATAAGAAAATTGGTAAAGTCTTATATGACTAAAAGAGTAAAATATAAACTGGTATTAGAAATCTAGTCTAACATGGATAAAAAAGACTTAGCATGTTTTAACTTGGACTGTTTTCAGTTCCAGAATAACTGAACAAACATAACTAGACTTAAATAGCCAGAGCAGACCAAACTTTATAATTATAAAATTCAACGGTCCAGATTCATTCTCATTTCTCTCCTGGGAGTCCTTCCTCACTGGAACCATACTCCCTATATATATATATATGTATTCATTCTCACCTGACCGTAACTCTGGAATAATCTCAGGACGGTCTGCTATTAAACAATTAAACCATAAATAATTAAACCATAAATCTCACATTTACAAATCATTAAACTATAAATTTCACTTTTTACAGATCTTCTCCAAACAGTCTAACATGCATATGATTCTCTTTTTTTTCTTTGTCATTACAATGCTTTAATTCCTTTTTCTTCTTTTTTGTTTTCATTTATTCACCTTGTTTATGTATTCCTTTATTCATTTACCATAAGATTTTTTATAAAATTTTCTTTCGATAGTTTTTCTATTTATTTCTTCTCCAGTCCTTCATTTTAATTATCTTTCCTTTTTATATATTCCTATTCGTTGTAGTCTCTTTTTATATTTTTTTCAGGCTACTTGTTTACTCCCTCCGTCCGTAAATGTTGTTCCAATTGCGGATTACGAAGGTTGCGACGATAAAGTTAAATGATCCATGTGAAAACTCAGATTATTTTTAGTAAATAAAATTTACATATTCAGAAACTACACTAAACCCGCTACAAAGTCTGCAAAAAATAATTCAACTTTTATAAAATTTTGATATAAAAAGTAAGAGTTTAAGAGTGATTTAAGTTGACCCTCGATAAGCGAAATGGAACTTCTTTTAAGACGGAGGGAGTATATTGTTTTTTAACTTTTTTAGAAAACAAAAAATATGTTAGTTGTGGTATCAAGGTAAGAAAACGAAAAATGAAATAAATAAGTAGAAGTAAAAAGAAAGTAAAGTAAAAAATTAGTAGGCTGAGAAAAAGATCTTTTATAGTAAGGGAACTAATCGGTAAAAATACATAAAATGGAAATGAAATAATAAACGAGGAGAAGAAAAAAAGAAGGAAAAATTGATTACATAAACATGGAGAAGAAATAAATCTAAGAATAAGGAGATAAAAAATGGAATTAAAAAGTCAAGAGGATAAAAATAAAAAGAGAAAAATTTTAGGGAAGAAAAAGAAAAATCATACGTGGGATCACAAACCGGTCAAGGATCGATGAAAAAAGATTACATGCAAATAAGAGATTATTCCTGAATTACGCTTATGTGGAAGTGTGAGAATATTGTAAGAAAACTACTAAAAGATGGGATTATTATATTATTTTACATTTTCCCAATATTTAATATTTAATTAATTAGGTAATTCACTTTACGCTTGGCCGCGCTTATCTTTCCCGGCCAAAGGGGTAATATATATCGTACAGCCGGTTGTACCTAAGTCATGGACTCATGGTACAACCGGGTTTTTTTTGTAATTAAATTCAATTATAGGGTAAAATATAGGTTAATGCCTCCTGCTACTTTTTTGGCTGATGACTGCTCCAAGTCTATGACTTTACTCTTTCTTTTATTTTTTGGTTTTCACTTTTCTTTTCGTTGCTTTTCACTTTCGTTTCTTGCTTTTCACTTTTTAGTGGCTTTTCATTTTTCATTGTTTTTGTTGTTTTCATTTTCAGTCCTTTTTTTCTTTATTTTTTTCATTAACATGCTTTATTTTTTTATTCAATTATAATGCAAATGTATAATTTAAAATATTGTTAATGTTCGAGTTTATTTTTTCTTGTTTTTCCAATCAAACTTTTAATTTAAGAGGTCGTTTGGCAGCACTGTTTTTTTGCTTATCAGGCTTATCAGACAACTTTTTCACCCAACATGCAACTTTTGTTTTCGTGCACTGAATTGTGTAATAAGTAGAAAAAGTAAGGTTGGAGTTACTTTTCTGGTTGTATTTGCTGAAGTTACAGTAGATAACCATTTTAGCTATTTTTACATATAATTTTTTCTTTATTTTATTAATAAAATATATTTTAAAAATAACTTTTTCTTAAATCAACAAAATCAGTCAATGCAATAACTTCAGCCAGTACTTCATAAATTTTAGCAGAATCAGCCAAATCATCCGATTTTAGTTCTTCCGGGCTCTAAGTTTCTGCATTAAACTAAATCACTTTTTATATCTCATTCCATCAACCTCTTAGTTCTCAACATCTCATATGATATATTTAGCCATTTAGGGCTTCATGAATATAAATATATAATCCGATGCATTTAGGCAATAGGATAGATACTTCAATCTAATTGATCTAAAATCTTTAAATTACAACTCATTTATAATTATTAATTCCTTTGTACATCTTGAGAATAAATCGTGTAGTTTTCTTAGTGTTCTAAAATAGTTATAAATTCATAATTAAGTATAGAGGTGTGCGTTTCTAGATCTACCAACATAAAACACTAGTTAAATTACCCAATAAGTTCCAGATGGTGCCAAAATAACACACACTTCAACAGTTTCAATCATCTAGCAACTTCAGTTAAAATTTCATAAATTTCTACAGAACAGTTGATTCACCAATTTCAGTGTTTTTAAATGGACTCCAAATTATTATCAAAGCAGCTAATTGTTACAAGTATTGTAGGGGATAAACTTAATTAATTAGTGGGATGAACAACAAAATGGCCTGGGAAAAAAATGTGGGAGTAGGGAGAGTTATACAATGCGTCAAATTTTGTTTATTATAAATCCCGCCCATTATCCTTATTTATTGTAGATTACAAATTTTGTTTATATTGTGCAGGCAATATCAAGGGAAGCAAGAGAGTTTGGATTAGGAAAAACGAAGTACAACTTGGTAATAGTGGGGAATGCAATATTTTCACAGTTGTATTATGTGGGAGCCCTCGGAGTGACGTCGTACGGCTCATCTCTGCTGTCTATGGTCATCATCACCGTCCTCCTCCCCATCACGGAGCTCATGGCCGTCGTCTTCTTCCACGAGAAGTTCCAGGCCGAGAAGGGCATCTCTCTTTTCCTCTCCTTCTGGGGATTCGTTTCTTACTTCTACGGCGATATAAAAAACAATATTAAGAAAAAGAACCAGCAACCGGCGGCCCTGCAAATTACCGAGTTGCCCTCTTCCGTCATTTCACCGTCAAAAAGTGTGACCGGTCCTTGAAGTCGTAGCTCAACACAAATCTGCTCTATAAGTCTGTCTAATACTTTGGCATGATAATTAAGGGCCCTTTCCAAATGCATTGTGTAGTATCTTAGCTTGATAGTGAGTGACATTTTAACTTTAGAACATCTCCAATGCTAAAATGTTAACGGTGCACACGTCACATGAAGGATAGACAATCAAAAACGATAAATAAAATATATCTCTCCTTTTATGAAGAATTTTATATCTTTTTGGTAAGTTCTTCTTCACAATGTCAAGCACAATGTCTAGATGTAGAAATTGTGATTGACATTGCAGAGAAAAACTTACCAAAAACACATAAGACCGTGGAAAGATGGAAAGAGAAATGTCATAAAATTAATCTTTTGTGTCTATCTCTCTCATATCACATGTGCACCGTGCACATTGTAGCATTGGAGATGCTCTTAAAAGTCTTGATCGACTTTTGAGTGTGTAAAAATAAGAAGTAAGTCATGATTTGTATATGATTTAAATAAAAATGATTGATCAAAATGTGATTTAAATAAAAGGCTAAAGGGTCAAATAGGTACATGAACTAACTTAAAGTGTTCAATTAGCCCCTTATATAGGAGGTTCTGCCCAGCCGTCGCCAATTGGGGCGGTTCCTGGTGGAATTTTTTGATGAAATATTTTGAGCATCTTCTACCGGGAACCTCCCCAATTGGCGATGGCCGGACTCAACCTCCTATATAAGGGGCTAATTGAACACTTTAAGTTAGTTCATGTACCTATTTGACCCTTTAGCCTAAATAAAATGACCAAATGTTATAAAATTTTGTCAAATACTTACAAGAAAAATTATATTTTGTGAAAGATGAAAGATGGTATTCCAGAGCGGCGAGCTCGGAAGGATCTGATCTCCTAGCCTTCTTCTCTCTGATTGAGTCTTTGATGATGTCGACGTTCTCTACGCAATAATTAATCGCTACTAGAATTTTCTATATTTGTTGCGGTTTTTCATCATGCACAATAATAAGTTCCATATTTATAATCAAAGGTTTCCTATGCTTCCTTTTTTTTCCCTACCTTTTAGGAATCTGATTTTGGTTTGCCTTCTTCTTCGGCCGAGAGTTATGTTTCCTCCTAGCAATGTCTACAGGTATGTTCCTCGTCAGCGTAACCGATCGGGTGGTGAATTTTTATTGTTCATGGTTGGAAAGGCTTGTTCAACCTAGTTCTTGTGAGGCTTCAATTACTCACCCTCCACTTGAACTAATCCCTCACTTTGAGACAAAGTACTTAGCACTCAATTCAACCAGATCACCTTTTTGTGGCTGATCAAACGAATGATTCAACCAATTTTTGTTCAGTTTAGTTTTCTTTGTTGATTGCACGTCAAATCAATTCTCCCTTTTCACTTTTTCCAGTGGCTGATGAAATGTGTGTTTTCTCGCATGAAATTTCTCGCATTAAAATTTCTCATCCAAACCTTCATCACTATAGCCAATGAAAATGACTTTCTCACTTTTTTCATCAAACTTTTCTCTCTTTTGTGAAGGAATGAGAGAATAAGCAATACAACCAAAAACTTTAAGATGACTGACAGTTGGCTTCCTTCCATGCCATGCTTCAAAAGGTGTTTTATTTTGCAACGCCTTTTTTGGTGATCTATTTAGGATGTATGAAGCACTATTAACAGCTTCAGCCCATAATTTTTTTGGAAACTCCTTTGCTTTTAGCATGCTTCTTGCCATTTCTACAATTGTGCGATTTTTCCTTTCTGACACACCATTTTGATGTGGTGTGTATCTGATTGTTAGTTGCCTCTGAATGCCTTGTTCCTTGCAATAGTTAAGAAATGGTCTTTCGATAAATTCACCTCCTCGATCTGTTCTAAGAGTCTTTATCTCATAGCCACTCTGTTTCTCAACAAAAACTTTGGAGTGCAGGAACATCTTGAAAGCCTCATATTTTTGCTCAAGAAAATATATCCAGATCATTCTGGTATAGTCATCAACAAAGAGCAAAAAATACCTTTTGTTGCCAAGTGAAGTAGTTCTTGCAGGTCCACAAATATCTTCACGTACTAACTCAAGAGGGGCATGTGCTCTCCAAGCTATTTTCGGAAAAGGAAGGCAATGCATTTTTTCAAAAACACAGCCTTAACAAACGTTGTCATTCTTCTGAATTTCTGGGAGACCAACAACCATGTTCTTCCTTTTCAATAATTGTAGATCCTTGACATTCAAATGACCATATCTCAAATGCCAAAGATCAGAATCACTTGTACTTTTGCTTTTGAAAACAGCATATTGGAATGACTTCATATCAAGGGGAAAAAGATTATTATGAGTCTGCATCACTTCAACAACTTGTGCTCCAGATTTTTTATCAAATATCTCACATTTACCATCATCAAAAATCAGTTTATAACCTTTCCCCATCATCTGTCCAATACTCAACAAATCCTGAGAAATATTTGGAGAGTAATTAACATCATGAATGAATGTTTTGTTACCTTCACTCGTGTGGATTGATATGACTCCTTTCCCTTCAATCCCCACCTTTTTTCCATTACCAAGTTCAACCGCAGATGAAAATTTCTCATCCAAATCTTCAAACAAATTCTAATTTCCGGTTACATGATTGCTGCAACCGCTATCCAAATACCATTTCTCATCATATTTTTTAGCATCACACACTGATAAGAACAGTTTGTCTTCTTCAATTCATCTTCTGCGGTATAATTAATTGCCTTTTTTTTCTTTCGACATTTCCCCCTTTTCATTATGCCAACAATCCCTATCAGAATGATTAGAATTTTGCATCTAATGCATCTATAGCGACAATCCTTAGCTCATGACCAGATTTCTTGCATATAAGGCAAGAAGAATTATAGTTACCATAAGACCTTTGCTGCCACAAAAAATCTTTCCTTCCTCCTTCTCTGTCATTAGGTCCAGAATGTCTGCCACCTCGGCCTCTATTGACAGGTTGTCCACGAGATGGTCCCCCTCTTCCTCCTTGGTGTGATGATATGCACTAGTTAGTAGTGCATAAATGTGTGTTTTTATATTTTGTTTTGTGTGGATTGTTTACCATTTGTGTGTAGTTGTAAACATTTATTTACTTTTTATTTGTAAGTGTTTTTAGCTTTTATTTGTGAGTTAGGAAGTTTTGATAGAATTGTTGGCAAGGAAAAGGAAGAAAAACAAGGAGAATGCTGCCCAGGAGTATAAACCCGGCCGGGTAGAAACCTTCACCCGGCCGGGAAGAAAAACAAGGAGAATGCGGCCCTATACCTCACCCGGTCGGGTGAGACTTGATCGAAGACAACCCGACGTGCTGAAGAGCACTAGAACATGGAAGATATTTGATTCGGACCGGTACCCGGTCGGATAGATACTCTACCCGCCGGTCGGGTACCCGGCCAAAGGTGTTGAAAAACACTTATAAATAGCACACTTTTCCTTCACTAAAAAATATCCCTTCTTCCATACTCTTAAGCTCAGTTTAGAATAGTATTTCTTTTATATTTTTATAGCATGTTTAGTCTCCAAATGAGGAGCTAAACTCTTCCATCTTGGTTTTGCTACTTTGAAGCTTAATGAATTTGTAAGTTGTGAGTTATTCTCTTTAATCTTCTTCCTTGAATATTAATTCTTCCTTTAAATACTATTTCTATATCAATGTTGGGGAGTGTTACTAAGATGACAATTAGTTAACATCTTGACATTAGTTATAGTAATAGCTATTTCTTCCTCTATGTTAATATTGGGGAGTGTTACTAAGATGACAATTAGTTAACATCTTGATATTAACTATAGTAGGATTCATCTTCTTTAATATTCTTCCTTGAGTATTAATTAATATCTATTCATATTTCATATTAATATTTTGAACATTACTTAAAGGATCAACTAGTTTTGTTTCATATATTAATTATTACTAGAATCAATCGATTAATATGCTTGTTATTAATTCGGTTCTTTCAATGGTAGTAAACTTGGGTTATTAATGCATTCCTCTCATGATTAATAAGCCAAGGGGAATTAATTATATTGATTAAACCAATAAACCGCTTGTGTTGAGGTTATCAATCTCAATCGTTTTCATCTTAAGTTTATTGCTACTATCAAGTTAATATACGACACTTGTTCTATATTGCCTCGATAGTAAGTTTTATTAATGAACGCATCTCGTTATTAATAACTACCCTCGATGAAATGGATATACTCCTCGATTGAGTATTCGAGAGGAAGCTAAGATAGTTAAAGATATAACCGGGATCGACGAACATTTCATTAAGTGGATAAAAGCAAAGTAAGGTCTTCTTCTCATTAATTAAACCACATAACTCGTTCATCTTTGTGTTTAAATATACTTTAAGTTCATAAACCAATCATAAAACCCCCCCTGTTGTTACTTATCTATTTCTATAAAAAGAGAAGTGTTCCTTTCCCTGTGGATACGAACCTTACTACACTATACTACGTATTAGTGTCGTATTGAATATTTATTTTGAAGTGCACACCACGACAAAGTGCACGTCATGTGATTTTGAGTTCTTGAAATTCAGACTTGCTTGAAAAATCTGCTCCAAAGGCTGGTTATATTTGTTCACTCTTTGCTCATGAGCTTGTAAAGATCCCATGAGTTCAAATTGAGTGAGCTTTGAGAGATCTTTTGTTTCTTCAATAAGAGAAACAATGTGTTCATATTTTTTAGGAAGACTCCGTAAAATCTTCTCGACGAGATTTTATTTGACTAATTTTTTCAGCCACCCTTAAGAAAAACTCTTTGACTTGCTCACCTTCTTTCATGGCGAGTTTGTCAAATTCGCTCCACAAATACTGCAACTTGATAGCAATTACCTTTTCTGATCCTTCAAATTTTGTCTTCAAGGTTTCCCATGCATCTTTGGCCTTTTTTATGCCAAAGATTCTAGGATATATGTCTTTGCTTACTCCTTGTTGGATAATCCTCAAGGCTGTAACATTTTTCTTCACATTCTCCTTATATTCTTTTTCTTTGACATGAGTCCAGGTTATGGTTATTGTTTCTGGACGCTTTTCATACTCTTCTTCTACCACGTCCCACAGATCTTGGGAAAGGAAGATGGTCTCCATTTGTGAATTCCAGTAGTCATAGTGCTCACCATGGAAAACTGGAATTTGGCTTGATGTGTATCAGAAAAGTAAATTGGAATTAGATGTAGCCATCTTATTGAATCCAGGCTCTAATACCAAAATAAGTTGGGTCAGCGGAATTAAGATGGAGCAAGTATATGAGAAAAGAGAACACAATTCAATCTGATTTCATTTTACTCCTTGACCACTCTCTTCTTGTTTACCGCACTTCTCTATTTATAGGACAATATAGAGAAGATGAAAAGATGCAACTTATGCATTATTTAAAGACAATAAAAATACTCGTAACTGAAAATAGACTCTTAATGCTAGAAGAAAAACTCCTAACTCTTGACATTACAAATTAACTACCATTAACAAAGGGGACATGACCTGGACACAGAGCGAAGACGATGGCCGGTGAGGGAGAAACAAACGTCGTCGGGGTCGG